TGCCGTAGTCGTTAGACCATTGACCTCGCATCCCTACAAAGCCGGGACGGAGCACGCCGGGTTCTCACCGGACCGCCAACAAAGAGGCGGGGGCGAAGGGGGGGGGCGTACTCTTATGTTTTGCATGCCTTTGCGGTTAGACCATTGACCACGCGTTCTCGAGAGGACGGAGCATTGCTCCCACAGGACCGATCNACGTTCCATCTCTTTTTCCCAGCTCAGTCACGTACACTTCCCTCTCCTTCTTGCACAACGGACATTCCGAGCCTACATGAACACGGTCTTCGCATTCGAAGCCGCAATCACATTTGAAGTCGTCGTCTTCGTCGTCTACCGTCCTATGTCTTCGTCGACGTTCTCGAAGGCCTATGTCCCCGGTCCTGAACTTGATCTAAAGCTTTGTGCCTGCATCCATTGGTCCATGTAGGTAATCCTTGAACCCTATCCNTGCGATATTGCCATGTCAGCTTCCTCGCGTCTCTTCCCGACCGTAGGGATTGGATCCCCAATTCTGCCCTGACGGCTGCATTACTTGTGCGCTTGGAGCATCCAAGGATGATTCGGGGGAGAAGGGGGGGGGGGACAGAAAGAGCGCGTACCACAGGCAACACAACCGGTGTCCGCTCCGCTGAGACGGAGGGGGGGGGGGCGTCCCTACTCTGCAAGTAACCCCCTCCCCCCTCAACCAAGATTTGAGTCCCTCGCTCTGCGCGCTATCTCGTGATAGAACAAAAAAACACCACAACACGAAAGAGAAAAAACAAACAAACGAGATTCGTTCTTGTTTGACTCCTCTTCTCACCACATACGCGTGAACAACCTCTTCAACCGCCCACTAAGATACCCCCCACAACACTTGACGCCCTCGCAACACATGCCGCAAAGCGCCACGTGTTCTACTTCTGTAGACAGGGGAGGGCTTACCGGTTAACCGCGGGTTGTCGGTTATGGAGAGCCATGCCAAGTTCGGCATTTTCGCGAAGGCCTTGATGGGGATTTCCCCTTTGTTTTAGGCGAGAGCAGGAGATGACGAGCGTGTGTATGCGTGGGTGTCAGGGAACAGGGGCAGATACAGGAGAGTTGTTAACGTGAACGGGTAAAATGCCGCGTTGGTGGTTGCTCGTTTATCGTCGCATCTATGCCTGCGCCCGTATGCTTTCGGCGCATCAGCCGGGGGTCACACACAGAATGAGCGACATCTGATGTTGGGTGCTCTGCTACATGCTCTCATACTCTCCCTCCCTCCCTCCCTCCCTCCCTCTGTCTCTTATGTGTACTCTTTCTCCCCCCCTCTCTCCCATGCTCTCCTCCCCCCTCTCCTCTCTCTCTCTCCCACCTGTGAGGTCGTTGCCCACACCGTTGTAGCCCAGGTTGATGTACTGCAACTTCGTCAGCATACCCAGCTCCATCGGAATCGAGCCTGATCCAACGCCATCGCCACCGCCGACACAAGAGCCAGACAATACAAGTGCAGCAGCGGGAGCCAAGAGCAGCAGTAGCATCAGCACAAAACATTGTTGGATTCGGAAACGGTCTTGACATGAACAAGAAGAACGGTGGCTGGCTCGTCACACACAAACAAAAAATTCCGAACAGCGAACAAGTAGTCAACAAGCGGAACAGGCGGGGGGGGGGGGGGGACNCCCTCCTTGTGCATGTGCCAGTGGTATTTTTTTTGGGGGGGGGGGCGTACTCTTATGTTTTGCATGTCTTAGCGGTTAGACCATTGACCATGCGCCCTCGAGAGGACGGAGCATTGTTCCCACAGGATTGATCACCGATGGCCGATTCCACTTGCCAAAGGTGGCTCTAATGACTTCCCTGGTCAGGGGGTGTGTGTGTACTCATAGTCGTGCATGCCGTAGGCGTTAGACCATTGACCTCGCATCCCTACAAAGCCGGGACGGAGCACGCCGGGTTCTCACCGGACCAGGCTCTCACATCACCAAGCG